CAGTTTGGATTCTAGTTGGTACCAGCTCATTATTTTCATTCTTCACTACCGTGAGGTAATTTTTTTTTTTTAGGCGGTAAAACCAGCCCATTGATTTTTTTTATATGATTTTTTTTTAGTTTTCCAATAATCAAATCTAAATTTGTTACCTTTGCTTGCTAGCTCCCCGGCAACGGCGCCAAAATTGCTTGACCGCTTTTTATGATCGGCTTGTTTTAACTCGCAAGTGCACGAGTGTGCGATGTAGCAATTAACTCGGTAAGATCGAGGTCATATCCACAGAGAGCTAGATCTGGAAATTAAGCTAAGTAACAAAAAAAAACTCAAGAGAAATTAAATTAACAATAACTTGGTTGAAAATAATTGATGGATTTGTTTTTAAAGATAAAAAAAAAATGTAAATAGATTTTAAATGACAAGAAAAGTAAGTCTTGGTCCAAATCAATTTTAATGGTGATGTATTGGTGATTTCTTCAACATATATAAGATAACTCAACCTAATATCAATGATGGTGATATTAGATCAGAAGATATTACAATGAAGATTAGAAAGATGAAGATTGATTATTGCTTAAGAATGAACAAGTACTTTCATATTAAGTAAGACATTGAATCAAGCAATCTCTATACCAAAACTAAAGTTTGTGCATAAAAATTCAAGATTATAACATTACCTAAATGATTTCTAAAATTTCTTTACAATAATAAATCATTCATGAAGAAAATAAGAAGATAAACATTAAGATTCATTCATATCCTAAAGAACTCACCTCAATCACCATTATCCTTGATTTGGATCCAAGAAAGAGTTTAGCCAACCATGATTATATATAAGAACACTTCAATAAACATGAAAGAACTTGAATCCAACTGAAAAAATAAGTTTTACAAACTAAAGAACCGAAATCTATAAAGAAGAACACAATACAATTTCAGAAAAAATTCGGACACAAATCTGACTCTAACTTTGGACAGCAATTCGACCCTCTTAGAAGCTTTTTTTGGAGAAGTCTATTAGAGACATATTTATAGGCAATTCTGTCACCTTTCCAGATCATTAAAGAACAGCTCATTTGGACACCTGAGTCAAAAGTTATGGGCAAAACACCGAAAGGTGTTCTGAAAAATCAAATCAAGACAGCTTTACAACTACTTTGGTGCACGTTTTTCTTCCTCATTTATGAGGTGTCTCCTTCTTCTTTTTGACCCAAAATAATGTTAAAATATCCCCTCCAGCTTTCCATCCATGTGCTTGCCTTCTTGGATCAATGGATTGCCCAAAATAAATCAATTGTTATTTGTTGTGTGGACATGTAAGATCATGGATTGTGTTTGGGTTGATTTGGGGTTGATTTAGGGCTGATTTGGGGCTGATTTTTGGGCTGAATTTGAGCATCAAATAAGTATACAAATGTACTTATTATTTGGGCTAAGATTGACATTGAAACCTTGAGTGTTTAATGGTTGAAGTTTGCACACAACATAAGGCAAGTTTGGGCTTGAAATAAATCATATGATATTCTTTTCTAGAATTGGAATAGAATTGATTTTTGGGACAAATTTGGAGCACTTATTTGAACCAAGATTTGCTTCAATCTTCAACTAAATGTCTCTTCAATTCTTTGTTCTGAATTCCGACGTTGAATTTTTTGAATTAATTCATTTAAGCTCCAAAAACCTATTGAAACATTAAAACAAACTTCATTACTAAAAAACACATCAATTATTATAAAAACAACCAAATAAAAACAATAAATACATATGTAAAATAAGAGACTTAATGACACTTTTGATGCACAATCACTTGTTCTGAAGATTAGAGAATGGCTTAGAAGTTACTGCTAGTACAGAAGGATTTGAAGAAAAAAGAATTTCCTTTTTAGAATAAGACTGAAGATGTATTTCTTCAGCCAATAACTTACTGACAACAGAGTTAACAGAAGACAGTGGAGAACGATGCAGAATTTAACCTCTAAGTCCTTCGAAGTCACTGCAAAGTGCTGTTAAAAACTGTACAAATCATTGTTGCTCTCTATGCTCAATATAGGCACCATATGCCTTTAATTCTGTCGATTTTGTTAGAGCCAATTAATCCCAAAGATCTATCATAGCAGAATAAAACTCTTGAATACTCATATTCTTCTAATAAAGAGCTTGTATGTCATTCTCTAATTGATACTATTTTGCAAAATTTGATTGGGTAAATAACCTTTGTAGATGATCCCAAACCTTTTTTTTTGTCTCATACTTTGCCAACTGTGTGCGTGTTGAATGCTTAACAAAATTATTAATCCAAGTAATGATTTTTGTATTATTTGCTTCCCATGTATCTATCAAAAAAGCACCCCCTCCTCAACATTCTTAGGTATTATATAAGTTCCACTAATATACCCCCATATCTTCTTACCTTTAAGAAAATTTCTCATTACATAGCTTCAATACAAATAGTTCTTCCCATCCAACCTCACACTCACAGATTGAAGCAAATCATCTCTTTCAAAAGCCATAATCAACAATCACAGAGAACCAGAATGCAAAAGCAGTGGAAAAAAAATATCAAATTATAGAAACTGAATAAAGATTGCAGAAACTAAACAAATATCTTCTTAGAATTGTATGATTACTCCAAAACACAAAACAAATTTGTAGAAACTGAATGCAAATACCAAATTGTAAAAGCTGAAAGGAAAACAAAATACCAAAATAATTGCAGGAACTGATGAAATACCAAATTTTCTATAGAAGCGGAAGACAAAATCTCACTCCAAAAAAGTTGGATCTACAAAACTATGTTCGGGATTAAGCCTCGTTTCATAAAACCAGCTCTGATACCATGTTGAAATAATTAAGATCAAACATAAAAAGGAGACTAGAATTCTGAATAATCTGTATATTATGAATGCTTAATCTTAACCTAAATACAAATAAAGTATATATAGATTAAATTGAAAGTACTATTTTACCCTTAATAAATAAGGCTACATAAATATTATTTAACATACATCTTCTCTCTAAACAATCCTTACATCTTCTTAATAAAGTCGAGCTTTACTAATAAGCATTATCTTAGCAATTCTAACTCTCTTATTATCAGACAAGTTGTGTTATTCAAAGAATTAATCTATATCATGAATTCACATATCAAATATCTAAAGGCCATGATGACAATTAAAAGTGAGGGCTTCTATTTTATTAGGGCTCATAACTCGATAATCAAGGTTATCATATTTAGAGTAATCTAAATGATAGGTATACTGGTAGTGCTCAAGGTGAACTTACTTACAATGGTTATTCTTGTGATATTTCTTGGGTTCACTTCTTATAGATGTTGGTCATCTAAGTTTACAACTCTTTTTAAATGGTCCTAAGAATATTGTTAAGAGTTGAGTCCATAATAAGTGTGGATTTAAGGTTGGAAATTAGATGATCATAACACAAATACATGCAAAACCAACTTAAAAATAAAATTGAGATAATTTACGATTCTTATAAGTGAAATCACAATACAAAAACAAAGCTAATTCTGTTTTTTTTTAATGTTGAGATTAATCAAGAATAAAAAATACTAGAAAAATTTTAAGCATGCAGTATTAAACCTTTAAATATAAATAATTAATCAAATAAAATCATATTGTTCCACCATTTTAGATAAGCTCTATTATTGACTAGATTGTTTGGTAAGAATATGCTAAAAGTTATTGTTGCTGATGTGAAAAAAAATGCTAATGTGGCACTAATGTGGCGGTATGTGATGACATGGTGTTGTTAAGGATGTGCTAGTTGACATGTCAATGTTGGTTGGCTTGGTATTGATATGGCATTGTGATGACATGGTAGTGTGATGAAGTGGCGCTGATGTGGCTACGTAAGAGTATTTGCTTTTCAGATCTAGAACATAAAATAGAAAGATGAATTATTTTTTTGTATTGTTACATTCTTTATCATTATTGATAAAAGTTTCCCACATGATCTAGAGTTTGAGAATGAATTTTGAATTTTAAGATTTGAATAAGCACATGGATTGTTTAATTATAAGAACAATAAAATAAAAATTCATATTCTAATACCAAAGTTGACACGGGACTAAAGAGATTTGAAAGAAAAAAAGATAGAAAAGGAGAAGCCAAGACGAACAAGTCGAAGAAAAAGAAGAAAGAACTGGAGAAGAGAAATGTGGGGGTTAGAAAAGTTTGCAACATTGCAATTTTTATTCAATTCATCAATAACTAGCTAATTTTTAGAAAAATAAGACACAAATACTAAAACTCTTACTGGAACAAATAATTAGGTTTATAACTTATTAAATAAAATACCAAATAATAATTAATTCAAGCATAATAAATAATACTTAATTAAAAATTTTTAATTAAAAAATCAAATAAATTAAAGCAAAACATAAATTAAAACTCAATCTCACAATAATTTGGGTTACTCTCTATTTACGGTCATACAAATACATAAATAGTGTCTAGATCCAGTGTCCAAACCATTTGAATGCTTTTTACTGCACTTCATTTGTCGCTATTCCAATCAAAGACCAATATGCCTGTTTTTTAATTTCACTTACTATCTATATTTCTTTTTATATTGGTTAAAACTTCTGAAAGTGAACACAAGTTGCATTTCCTTTTTCTTTCCTTTTATTTTTTCTGTTTGAAAGTGAGACTTACGCCCAAAACAACTAAAATTGTGGACTGAATTGAAGTTGCAATTGAGAGATAAAACTAATTCCCTAGTGAAGCACTTGCATTGAGAATGCCTTTGGCAATTATGACATTAAAATCTTGTTTGCAGGATAGCATTTAGCACTAGGAATCCTCTATAGCTGCTTTATAGCAGATTTATGTTGGCCTCATATCTTTGATATATTTGAGCACCACTGCCCTTCAATTTGCTTTGGTGCTTCCACATTCTGCAATTTACTTCTTTCAGAATTTCAATTTCGGCATTTAGATGAAATAAACTCGCATGGTTTAGTCGTACTATTGTTGTTGGAACAGAGCAAATGGCTTGTAGTTACTTTTTTTTGTGCTGTCATTCTTGGGAGGCATGATGCAAAAGCCATGTGGGCTGCTTTGGGGTTAGTTGTGAATTCAATCCTCTCTGTAATCCTTAAGAGAACATTCAACCAAGAGAGACCCGATTCGACATTGAGGTCTGACCCTGGGATGCCATCTTCACATGGACAATCCATCTTCTTCACTTTGGTGTTCGCTATTCTGTCAGGTAACGTCCCTCTTTATTTGACTTGTTAGCTATTTATCAGTCTATTTTATGTCAGCATTTGCAAAATCTAAGTAAAGAAGGTCCATGATAACTCCATCAACTGATGAGGGATGCAGTATCATGCTTACGTTTTTGCAAATGAACCATGGAAGTTTCTATAATCTGCATATTTTCTCTTCCTACCATGAAAATGGCTGCTTGCTGTTACAAATGTTCTTTGCATGTGTACAAGTTTTGGTCTTATAATAAATGCTTGTGTGAGCTTCTTCTTGGTAAATTCCTACAGAGTGCTTGTTCTGTGTGCTGTTGCAGTTGGGGAATGGCTAGGAGTAAATGAATTCACACTGATCCTCAGTGCATTTATGCTAGCATTTGGCACGTATCTTGTAAGTATCATTTTGCCCCTTATATTATAGTCAAATGCAGCATGCTATTAACACTTGAGCTCACTTTCGAGTTTATAAAAACAGTCAACAATGTAGAAACCTAGGGGCTTGCAGATTAAGCATATTATGAAGAATATGTGAAGCTTATAGAAATATGTTCATTCTATGGTGTGTTTTTTATCCTCAAACATTTTATTTTTTTTTGCTATTTGGTGAAATTTTCATTTTTTTTTGTTTAAAATGAAAAAAAAATTATGTTTTTATATTGTTTTGATATGTTGATGTAAAAAATAATTTTTAAAAAATAAAAAAAATTATTTTGATGTATTTTTAAATAAAAACACTTTAAACTATTATCACTATCACAATTTCTCATCCTTGCATTTGATGTGTGCATCAATTTATGTGTTATAATTTATTTTTGCAAGTTTTTTAAACAGTGAAAATACTATAATTTTTTATTTAAATTTTTAAATTTTTATATATTTTATCTTATTATTTAAGAATTTTATATTAAAGTTCTAAACTTTATTTTATTTGTGTTTTGGTTCTTATGTGTTGAGGGAGAAGATAGAGAGTGTCATCTAAAAAAAGAAAGAGAGAGAGAGAACATTCAATTGTCATGGTTCTATCAATGAAAAAAAAATTGATAATGATAATTTTATTTTGCTAGAAAAAATACATCTGAAGTATTTTTAAATTGGTCTAATTTTTGTTTTCAAAATGATTTTATAGTGCTTTAAAGTTAAAAATAAATTTATTTATTTTTTATGATGTTTTTTAAATATTATCAAATAAAAATAAATTAAAAATAGTTTTCAGAGACACAAGAATCTAAAACCTAACTTTTCAGCTACTGGTGGTGGCTGAAACTTGAAATAGGTAACAAGAAGTCATTTGTTTGATTTAAAAATAAAAACATTAGATTGATAGCATGTTGTTCTCGCATTTAAAATAGAAGAGGATCTAAAGCTCGGCCCAGTACTCCTAGGCCCATCATTGCTTCTTTTTATATTATCCTTTAATTTTTTTTCTTTTTTCTTTTTAATAAAATTCACTTTTAATAAAACAATTAAAATTATATTTAAAATAATATTCAATTTTCATAGTTTTAAAAAAATATTATATTTTTTTATAATGATATTAACAATTACTTTATAAATTATTATATATATATATATATATATATATTCATAGATATATACAAGATCTATTAAAAA